CAGAAAGGCAGCCCACTCGGGAAAATAGCAGGTAACCCTCTCCAAGAAAGCAGAGAAGTAGAATTATGGTCCCCACATCTCTGGAAAACTCATAGTCCAGTCATCCCTGAAGGGGCAATGAAATGGGCAGTAAGTACCAGAACATTCAAAGCATAGCTGCTGCTCACTGGGAAATCTGAGCTAGCCACAGAGCCTGAATCATCACCATGGATGTTAAAGTCAGAATGGACACCCCCACTAATAGGCACTAAGTCACAACCAGGACCTAGATACTTTCATGGAGGGACCCTGGAATTCCAAGCCAGCTAGTTACACAGACTTGCTCCGGCTACATGAGTAACACTGCTGATAGTCCAATCTCTCACTTCTTGAGTATTTGAGAACTAACTTATGACATTATAGCAGATTCTACTAATTTATTTTGTAATAAAAAATGAAATTAAAAGAAAGAATATTCTATAGTATTTTTTAAAATTCCAACCACCTGAAAATTTAAGTATTCTTCTAAATCACTATGGAGATAAAAATTATTTAAAATTTTAGTGCAATTATAGGGGCACCTGGCTGGCTCAGGCAGTGAAGCATGCAACTCTTGATTTCAGGATTGTGAGTTCAAGTTCCACATTGGGTATACTTAAAAAAAATTAATAAAATATTTTAAAAATTAATGTAATTATAAACAGTTTAGAATATATTTTTGAAAATCAAAACACTATGTATCCAAACTTAAGGAACAGACCCAAAGCTGCGTTCAAAGGAAAATTCATAGGAGTAAACATTCTCTTACAAAGAAAAACAGAAAAATAAATAAAGCATTCACTTCAAGGCATTAAGTTGGAAGAAAGGAATGATTTTTAAAAGATAAAGGTAGCACAAATGAAGTAACAACAAGGAAAACATGCCAAAATTGAGAAATAAATCTAGGAGCTGGTTGTATGAAAAACAAACCTAGAACAAACTTTGACAAAACTTATTAGAAAAAGAAAGCATCCATTGTAATGGAATTATAATTTGAAAATTATTATTAAGTTTTTCTCTTTTGTCTTCTGACTTTGACATGACTTTTCCCTCTGTCATTTTAAAGCATCCTTTGGGGGATTCTGGAGCAATGAAGACTTGTTACTCAAAAAATGCAAAGAGAAAGGATAAGGTGATATTCAGCTGTAGCCAAGCAAAACAAGATATGCTATGGCCTCAAGAAAAGAATTCCAGATTCTTCTCATTCTCCCACTTGAGCACATTAACCACCTTACTTGGAAGAAACAGCTCTTGGAGCTTTCTCAATCTTTTCAAACCCAGTCTCCACAAATTACCATTAAGACTTAGGTTTGAATTCAACCTGGAGGTTTGAGTCAGGACAAAAGAAAATATGAAGCACTGGGGTAGACTGCACATTCCCAATTGGGACCAGAGGTGGAAAGAAGAGAGCTCTGGCTTGGGGACAGAAAGATAAGGGTAACCACAAGAGTAGACGGAAGTTGGCCTCCTCCCCCACCTCGGACTCTGAAAAGATCACTTCTTGGACAGCCTCTCATCCTGAAATTAACTTAGAATAGGGTCACATGTACTTCACTGTGCAAGTAGAGGGAGGACCTCTATTTAATTTCCTGAACCAGCCTCCATTCTTATATGTTTAGACAGGTCCCAGAAATAGCTGGGAGACTGGTTGTGGATCTGGTGAGCCAGACCTGGGTGAGACAGCCTCAGAGCAAATGTTGCAGAGTAACAACACAGGCGAGGACTAAGAGAGAATCTTCACCAGATCCCAGAAAGGTAGCACCAGGTGGGAGCTCAGTGAGGAAGATAGAGTGAGGGGACCAATAACGTAGAATACCCGAAGAAAAACAATGAGCCACAAACTGCAATTTCCTAACTGGCTATCAGCTGGGTGGTACCCAGCCATCAGGTGGAAAATGGACAACATCACTCTGGAAATTAGAGGAGTCAAAGGTTACCATGACCATGAACCCCAACTCTTAACCCTACTAACACATCATCTAAGCCCACCTCCCCCTTGTATCTGGGTGTCATCTTTAAGTAAAAAGAAATGATGAAAACAATATGGCAGATGGAGCATTTGCTCCCAGGAAGAATAAATATTGCCAGAAAGAGTTGCTTATATTGTCACATCGGACTAAGCTTTAACCTGGAGACATACACACACACCCCGTCTTGCCCAGCACCTCAGAAAGGTTACACATCAGGGCCATTAAGAGTGTGGGATTCTGTATCCACATGGCCTAGGTCTGACTCCTGGATCCACAATTTGCCAACCTTGTGACTCTGGGAAATTTACTTCTTCTCTCTGTGCCTCAGTTTCCTCAACTATGAAATGAAGATAATCATAGTTTCTCTGAGTAGTTTTTAAGGGTTAAGTGAGTTAGTAAATGTAAAGTGCCTAGATCAATATCTGGCCCATTAAAACATTCACTAAGTGGTGGCTATCTTTACTACTATTAGCATTACTATTATTACTTTTACCTATTACCTACAGTGTGGGGCTCATGAAGGAAAGATCAGATCAGCTACAGAAAAATTAAGAAATTCTAATTTCTCGGGGTGCCTGGGTTGTCAGTTAAGTGTCTAACTCTCGGCTTCGGCTCAGGTCCTGATCTCAGGGTCCTGGGATCGAGCCCCTTTCAGGCTCTGAGCTCAGTGGGGAGTCTGCTTGAGAATCTTTTTGCCTCATCCTGTGCCCCTCCTGCTCATGCTCTCTTTCTCTAAAATAAATAAATAAATCTTTAAAAGAAATTATAGGGGCTCCTGGTCCTGGGTGGCTTAGTGGGTTAAAGCCTCTGCCTTTGGCTCAGGTCATGATCCCAGGGTCCTGGAATGGAGCCCCGCATCAGGCTCTCTGCTCAGCGGGGAGCCTGCTTCCTCCTCTCTCTGCCTGCCTCTCTGCCTACTTGTGACCTCTGTCAAATAAGTAAATAAAAAATCTTTAAAAAAAAATAAAATAAATTCTAAATTTCTCTCCATAATTAAGTGGTACAGATTAAAATTTGTATCCCTGCTACATAAATAATTAAAATCATAAATGATAAAAGGCATATAAAATAAATTAGACAGGTTTTAAAAAACATGACAGAATGGTATTTAAAAAGCCTTTGAATCAGATTCAGAAAAACATAGGAATTACCTATACTAGCTCAAGAAGCATGGAAAGTAGAAAAGAAGTATGCCAAAAGAAGCTAAAAAATTCATCAAAGAATTACCTCAAAAAAGGCCTAGAACCGGGTAATTCAATTAGTGCATTCTTTCAAAATTTCCCCAAGGGGCAATGCCAAAATGAATAACAAACAGTACCAAGGCCTGCAAAAAAAAAAAAAAAAAAAATGGAATGCTCCCCAGATCACTGGAAAGCTATGCTATCTATAGTATACAAACCTGTAATTAGAGGCCACTATTTTTTTTTAAAGATTTTATTTATTTGACACAGAGAGATCACAAGTAGACAGAGAGGCAGGCAGAGAGAGAGAGAGGGAAGCAGGCTCCCTGCTGAGCAGAGAGCCCGATTCGGGACTCGATCCCAGGACCCTGAGATCATGACCTGAGCCGAAGGCAGCGGCTTAACCCACTGAGCCACCCAGGCGCCCCAGAGGCCACTATTTTTATCAAAAGTTTTGTTACTCTAGGATTTCTTAATACCTCTAACATGTTATAAAATCCTAATAGGAGGGCTGTGGGAGACTGTTCCTGCACTTCAAGATTTCTTCCAGGCTCCCCCAGACCCTTATTATGACTATGCCACACAGGAGCCTGGGATTGCTCAATCAGAAAGATTTAGAAGGTCCAAGAGCCAAGAATGTACAGAAGGAAACAAAGAAAAAAGGATCGACAAAAGATAAGAAGAGGAAAAGAGACAGTACACAAAACTGAGGTAAGAATAGTGTTGCTGAGGCACAGAACGGTACATTCTTCTGGTGAAAATGTAAATTGAACCAACTCTTCCAGGATGTAACTGGCCATACGTGTTTGGAACCAACAATGTATATACTCTTCAACCTAATAATATGACTTCTATCATTCCATCCTGGAGAATTCATTTAATATGAAGATAAGGATTTACATACAAGAATACACTTAATAGAATTATTAACAGCAAATAAAACAACAAGCAAACAGGAAGCAGTCAAAATGTCTAGAGCTACAAAGAGTTAAACAGATGGCACATTCATCTGATGAATTATCCAACAATTAAAAGCAACAGTGGGGGGGTAATGATATATATTTATCTAATTTTTTAGGAGAAAAGGTAGACCACAAAGTCTAATCTTAAATATATTTTTAAAATATATGTAGGTAGGAAAAACTACTGGAAGGATATAGACCAAAGCCTTAATATGATCTGTGGGTGGTACAGTTCTGAGTGAATATTTTTTAATACATTTCTCATATTAACTAACTTTCTGCAACAAGCATGTATTACTTTTATAATCAGAAAGAAAGATAAAAACCAAATAATTATTGCACATAGATAAATACTCCTGTGAGTGAAAAAGAGCAGTTTTAAGCTTCCATTCACTAAGGACAAAAACAGTCTGAACGTTGTGCACAGAATTCTCCCAAACGTGAATCTCTACACGGGTGCCCTGAAAAGCATAAAGACAAAAAGCAAACCAACCGAATCCCTCTACAGACAGGCTGAGCTGCCTCTCTCCGGGGTTTTCAACACCAGGTTACGGAGAAGGGGCCTCAGCACCCATTTTGGCAAAGTGCAGCGGTCTGAGTGTCTCCCTCGGTTCGAAGAACCTCTACGTGGAGATCCAGGCTTTACAGGGGAGGTTAAGGCAGTGTGAGGAGTTAAACACACACACACACACACACACACACAGTGTGAGGAGTTACACACACACAGAGCACACTCGGACACCCAAGCGCACTCAATCGCGCGGTCCCAGCCAGACAGCGCGAGGCGAGCCCTGCGGCTACAGCCGCGCCCCACCCGCGCCCCGCAGCCGCCGAGTCCCCTCCCGCCCGCCGCCCGGCGCCGCGGGTACCTGTTCGTGGGGCGCGGTAGCTGGGTCGCCGGGCTCCGGAGCGTCCTCAGCGCGGCGGGGGTACCGCGGGTGGCGTCCCTGCTCTCCTCCACCGAGAGCCTGCACCGCCAGGAAGAAAACTAAGTTGTTACACCTCGCTGACAGGCTCGGCGGCCGCAGCGCGCTCGCACCTGGCCCGGGCGTCCTCGCGCAGCCCGGCTCCCCCGCCCTCGGCAGCTCCCAGACCCCGGAGTTTGAAGCCGCTTAGGGCGGGAAGGAAGGGGAACCACGAACCAGAACTCGGGAGACCGCGGGGGACCCGACGGCAGGTCCCGCTCCGCAAAGACCGCCCGCCGGAGCCCTCGCCTCCCTCCCCGCCGCAGCCGGAGCCCACCTGGTCCCCGCGTCGCCCCCTCGGTCACCCGGGCCAGGCCCGTCCCGCCTCCTGGACGCCCCCTTCCCGGCCCGCCCTCGCGCGACCGCCGCCCGTCGGCTTCCCTTCGCGTCGGCCCGGAGGCGGGCGGCCGGGCGGCGGGGGAGCCCCGGGGGGCGCGCGGCAGGCGGGCGGGTTACCTGGAGCGAGCGGGCGCGTCGGTGGAGCACCAGAGCAGGCGCAGCAGCAGCAGCAGCAGGCTGGCGAGCAGGGCGAGCAGCGCGCCCCCCGGCCGCATCCTGAGCCCCACGCACGACCGCCGCCGCCCCGGCGAAGCGCAGCCCGCCGGCCCGACTCTCCGCTCCCGCCGCCGCCGCGGCCACGCACACCTCCAGTGTTCAAACGCGGCGGGGAGGGGCGACGACGGCGCGCGGCGCGGGCCCGCACTCCGGGCGCCCCGGGCCAGCCTCTCGCGGTGTGCCGGGGGCGAAAGGAGAAGGCGCGTGCCGGCTCTCGCCTTCTCGCGCCCAGCCCCGGACCGCTGAGCTCGGCGCTCGGCTTGGCAGTGACGATTCGCCGAGCTCGCCTCCTCTCCTCCCGGAGGCGCTCCGAGCCGCTGCGGGCTTTGGTCGCCGCGCCGCCGCCACCGCTGCCTCCTCCTCCGCCGCCGCTGCCGCCGCTGCCGCCGCCGCCGCCGCCGCCGCCGCCGCGCGGGGTCACCTGAAGGTTGGGACTCGCGAGCTGGACTCGGTGCTGATTGGGCTCCAACTTTTGTGCGCCCTCGCCTTCTCCGGAGTGCCCGCGGGCTCTTCTCCGGAGCCCACGCAGCTCACCCAAGCACACCGCAACTCCTTCCGCGTCCCTGCGGTGGAAAGCAAGGACCGAGGGCTGGAAGAGAAGAAAGGAAAGAGCCCACTTCAAAACTTTCTTAAAACTGTGCAGTCGCTCGGCTGGATCGCCCCACGCAAAGGCTGCTAGGGACTTGGTTTCGTTGGGTAGATCCTGGTACCCAAGGGGAGGAGGAACCGTCTCTTACTTGAACGCAGATTCAGAGGCACAGAGAGTGGATTTACCAGGAGCCAGGGAATCTTTAGGGGCTGGCATACTACCACCTGAGGGCTGAGCTTGGCCCCAGCCTGGTTTTGCAAATAGTGTTTTTTGAACACCTCCATGCTGGTTCCTTTGTCTTCTCCATGGCTGTACGTAGCTGTGGGGACCTGCTTTTGGGTTTACAAGGCAGGGTTGAGTAGTGGTGACAAAGATCACATGGGCCCCGGAGCCTAAAGCATTTATCTATCCCTTTTCAGAAAAACTTAGCAGACCATTGGTCTAAATCATGTTGGTTAGATACTGGAAAATGGCCCTATGGCAGTGTGATACGGTCTGGCTGTCCTCTTTCTGCCCCAAGCGATTCTGTCCTCGTCCTCCGTGCCTCCAGTACACTGCGCACGTCTCCTGCAGTGCAACCTCAGTTTTGCTCCGGACTCAACCCTTGAGGAACCTCAGTGAACCGTAAACCCCATAACTGTTAGATGGGGCCTCATTAGATCGTACAGAGTTGAGATTTTTCCAAAAGAACACCTGGACTCCACCATCTCGCAAATACTTTGGAAAGGCTTAAACTCTGAAAAGTCTTTAATGAGTTAGCTTTCCAAGCGACAAAAATATTTGTGTTTCACTTGGAGTTTTCTAGAGACACAAGGTCTTGACCTAAAAGACCCACCCCCAGAGGCTTTGGGGAGAACAAGTCGGCCAAACAACTATAAAGCTGTTGCCAGGGATTTTGTCACTGAAAAAATAACATATCCAGAAGAGAAATATGGGCTACCTAGTTCCTTTCTGCTAACCCTGCATTTACTCTAATTAAAAATATTTAGTTGAAGAGATACAGATGTAGTGAAAAGAAGGGCCATCTGTACCCCAATGTTTACAGCAGCAATGGCTACGGTCACCAAACTGTGGAAAGAACCAAGATGCCCTTCAATGGTCGAATGGATAAGGAAGATGTGGTCCTTATACACTATGGAGTATTATGCCTCCATCAGAAAGGATGAATACCCAACTTTTGTAGCAGCATGGATGGGACTGGAAGAGATGATGCTGAGTGAAATAAGTCAAGCAGAGAGAGTCAATTATCATATGTTTTTACTTATTTGTGGAGCATAACAAATAGCATGGAGGACATGGGGAGTTAAGAGAAGGGAGTTGGGTGAAATTGGAAGGGGAGGTGAACAATGAGAGACTATGGACTCTGAAATACAATCTGAAGGGTTTGAAGAGGTGGGGGGGTAGGAGGTTGGGGGAACGAGGTGGTGGGTATTAGGGCACGGATTGCATGGAGCACTGGGTGTGGTACAAAAACAATGAATACTGTTATGCTGAAAATAAGTTTAAAAAATGATTAAAAAATATTTAGTTGAAAACAAACCAGAACTTTTCACATAATAGTCAATCAATAAATGTTTGATCAATGAATGAAACACCTAGGAACTAACACTTTCCTTAAAGAGAAGAAGGAGGAAAAAACTGAAAATGGGTGTGACTGGAAATATGATTTCCTTCCATAGCTCACTACTGTTGTTAAAGTATGTACTAATCAATAAAGAAAAAGTTGCTCCTTTTACATCAGGTCAACATTTTTAGGAATATGACTGCTTATCTGAGTAGGGCACAAAAAAGTAATACTATATTCAGCTGCTGTTAAAATAATAAAGCAACCCAGTTCTACATGTCTGAAAGTGAGGCATTCTGTTAGACAAGTAGGATATGGCACAATTAACTTGAAAATGAAAAGTTGTCTGGATTTGGGAGATAGTCTGAATTTTATTTCTCTTAGAGCAGAATTGTGCAGACAACTCATACTGAAGACGGTTTGCAGAAAAAGAAAAGGACATTATTGTATCAGCCAGGAAGCTGCAATTTCACCTAATTTACTAAAGTTTAATATTTCAGCACAGCTGGGCTCAAGGCAACAGCAGAAAGAGTCAGTCTTGCACTGGGTTCCCTAAACACCCTTGTTGTAAATGAAGTTACTTTTTATCAAGCCAATGGCTATCAGCAGGGGACTCACAAAAGCCCATTTTAATTGGAAAACCAAGTGTAAATTTGCACTGGGAATTCTGAAACCAGTGTTAAAATTTGACAGTAGGGAACTTTACCACCAGCTTTGTAAATGAAGACTTGGGCTGGTAAAATATGAATTATCCTGCTTATCTTTGAGAGATTAAAAAGAAAAACAAAAAACACCCGACAAAAACATGAGTCCTTCTGTATTATCAGCCACAGAACCCAAACTGGAAAACTGTATATTTGGTAATTTAAGATTAGTGAGTTTGACCAACAACCTCAAAGATACTTTTGGGTCATTTGGGTAGTCTGCTGAGGCCAGGATCTAAAAAGAAAGTCTGGGTGCTATGTAGAAGTCGCAGCTGGTGTGTAAACCTGTCTCACTCACCCGGTCTGTCCAGCATGTGCCTCTCATTTACCTTTGTTACTCTTTAGTTTTGACCCTTACTTTCAGAAAATCACCATGAAAACCTGATTGGGAAGTAATGATATATTTTAAAAATGTCCAAATAATTCGAAATCTTCTGGGAAGTTGGTTTCTCATTTTCAGTGTACGGTTTTTAATATTTCCATGTTCACAGATTTAGGGATTCACGAAGAAGAATCTCAGATATCAAGGGTCTATTGTATCCACTTGTACACATGAGTACAGACTCTCAATATAGAGAAACGCAAAAAATCACCCAAGAATCTTTTCCTTCATTTGGGGGACATTTTTATCTCCCTGCTAGAAAGGGTGGTTCCTGATGTCTTCAGGGTGCTTGATTGGTTTTTAGTAATAGTAGAGATTCGTGAAGACTATAGAACAATAGCACATTCATAAATATTAAACTATTCCTTGGGGGAGGAAATTCATAAGATAGTATAACCAAGGCTATATATTTTCAATAAGTTATAAGATATAAATAAAAGTAGAAATAACTTCCAGAAATCAACAACCATGTATGAGAGGGAGCTCTTTCCAAATATGTTTTATTACCAACTTCTCCCACTGCTAATTGAATATTTAAAAAATTGATGAAGGGGCACCTGGCCTTCGGATCAGGTCATGATCTCAGGGTCCTGGGATCAAGCCCCGAATCCGGCTCTCTGCTCAGCAGGGAGCCTGCTTTCTCTCCCTCACTCTCTGCCTGCTTCTCTGCCTACTTGTGATATCTCTCTCTCTGTGTGTTAAATAAATAAAATCTTTAAAAAAATAAAAAATAAAATAAAAATAAAAAATGGATGCAATTCTGTGAATAAAGTAGTTTTAACTTTAAAGATAGAACACTGAAGGTCATATACAAATTTTTTATAGATCTTACAATGATAAGAAATCCAATTTGTAGCATAACTAAAATTACAGAACCAAAAAAATTAGAGGTATTATTTACAGTGCAAAATAGATTTTTAATGTATAAAACATTCAAACTTTAAAAACTCCTCTCTCTGAAATCCACTTAAAAGATCACCAAGGACCAAAAAGAGAAATGGAAATTGTTTATCCTGAAACCATAAAATGGCTGCAATCCCATTCCACAAACTCCCAAGAATATCTGCTAAAGGTGAACCAATTGGACAAGAATACCAAGTTCAAGGCTCATTGCCTCTATTTATGAACTTAAATTGGTCGGGTTGGGGGAATGGAAAAGCTTCTGAAGGCCCTACTAATGCATAATTTGGAAGAGCAAAGTCTGGGAGTAGGTCACATCAAAAATGAGTAGCGATTAGTGTAAATGGCCAGAGTTACAGAGTTTAAAGAGAGGCAGTGACCAGTATTTCTGTTTCCAGTGAATACAGCTTTCTAGCCAGAGAAATGATGACCTAGATATAATGCTATTCTTGAAGAAAGATGCTACAAAAAATTTTGTAGCTACTGGTTAAAATCAATTTACCAAAGAAAAATTAGTACCTAGTCTATGTATTCAGTAAACAACAGGCCCTCAAGCCATTGGTTTTTATACTGAATTGGCCTCTCCCAGACTACCCTTGCTGATTCCAGTGTTTGCAAGACCAGGCAGAACTCCAGCTGTTTCAACAGTTTGGGTGTGGGGGTTGTATGGGCAAAGATAATGTACCTAACTCTTCCATATTCTCTCCTCAACTTCTCTTCCCTACCACTTCATTGTGTACAACCTAAACTATAAGCAGATAAATAACTGAACAAAATAACATCCAATAGCAAGCCTTAATGCAAAACCAACTTTCAACAAGTAGACAGATGAACAGGAAACACTGCCAAAAATTTTCCATTCACAATATTCCTGGCAAGTAGCAAAACAAACAAGCAAACA